GAAAACGTAGTGCACAGGTCCCTCCATTCTTCTATTTCTTTCTTTGTCAGCCTTCTAGAAAACGTCATGTCTTCCATCTCCTTCATTTGACTGTTATAGCTCTCTGCATGATCTGGTTGTGAAAGTAGCCGTCGATTAGTACTTTCCATTATTCGCACTACATGGGTATAGTTGTCGGGCAATTCTTTCGGATCCCTTTTTCAAGGGTATTTCATAGTCCATTTTTTATCTTCTAGGCTGTATGACTCCTCAATTGATGATTCCCCTTATTACGTTTTCGTAGCGCTTACACTGTACATGCTTTTTTCATGAATATGGTAGCAGAGAAGCTTTGGAATAAAAACTTTTATGCCTGGCGTTTTGGCTTTGGCTTTGACAAGTTGCTCCTGACAACGACAGGTTCATGTTCAGATCCGATCAAAAACATATAAAAATGAATCTGTTTTGATTTAATTAACGTTTTTCTACTAAAAGGACAATGAAAAAGGTATGTTATTTTTATATTTTTATATTTTTTCTTGTCGTTTCACGATAATATGCTTGAAAAAAGTGTTTTTAAACACAAACTTTTACTTTGTTTACAATATTTATATCAGTGAAAAATACATGACACAAATGGGTAGACAATATATTCGTGACTTGTTTTCACTGCTGCTGTTAAACCTTCTTTTAAATGGGAAAACATTTATTTTACAATATCTGTTTAAGCTGTAATTTTTTCGCTTTTAAGTGGCCGAATACATGAGCATTCAAAAAATATATAGTTTTCTCGACGTAAGTTTTATACATGTCAAATACTTTCCGACTTTCAGTCCATTTGTATATCAAAATATTGTCAATTGTCGTGAACATCGTGCTTAGTATGAAGCCTTTAGGGCTTGATGCAATTCATTTTCGTATTCTGACTATCGTTAGGCTATGTTTTTCAAACGTTTTTGGCAGATTTTTTTGTTTAAAAATTGTTTCACTCCTCAGTTTTTGCCGCGAAAACCAGAGCGGGCAGTTGCATTTCACAGCGGGCAGTTGCGTTTCAGAGTGGTCCGGATGCAAAAACCCGGCCCGCTCTGAAAGGCTCCTCAGCCAATCAGATTGCTTCATTTTCACTGATAAAAAATAAATGTTTGTTATTTCGCTGTCGTCATGCAGTCGTTATAATGCAAATTTTAAACTCGACCAATCAGTGTTCGCTGTTCGTGAGAGTCCGCCATATTTTTGAGATCAGTGAGGATGACCACCCACGTTGGTCACCCACGCCCACGATCATTGATGAACTTCAGCGGACTTCGCTAATGCTTTCGTTTTCCCGGGTGTAAATAGCCGGGCGGAATTAGTACCCTCGCACGGCGCGTTGGCTCGGGGATTAATAAGTAATATTTCGGACTCGTGCTATTTTGAGGTCTTTGAAAAACTCACGAGTGCATGTTTATCCAAATTTCACGAGAAACCATGCTATTACCTATACTAACTACAAATAAAATTGGAACAAGGACATGCATTAATTAAAAGCATCTAAGAATACACCCATCTTGTTTTAGGCCGGCAAACGGCGGATTTCGCTACTCCGCTAGCGCTAAGAAGACATTTGAGAGCCATTCGCCAGAGGTTGTTTGTAATTCGCCGGTACTTGCAGTTATGACAAGCTGAAATTTTTAGCCCAGTCTTGCACTTGGACAATATACCAAATAGACAAAGCTTGCAAGTCTTTGCCCATGCTCACAGCGCCCTTGAAGCTTCGACCTTCCATTCTTTGCATTCTCGCTAGCTTCGCCGTCGCTCATCAATTAATAGCCGGAGTCTCAGTAGAGCAAAACAGTATTGGCCATACCCAAATTATTATTAGCCAGGACTTCAAAAGGATATACCTGAAGGGCTGGTGAATAGAAATGTCTTTAGTAACTTTTTAAATGTAGCTGTCGAGAACGCAATCCTGATGGCTTTGGCAAGAGCTTTCCATAAAGTTGGGGCAGCGAGAGAAAATGATCGATCACCCAAGGTCTTAAGAGTTTTAAGTCTGGGTCAAGTAGACACGGATCAGAGCGGTGGGATCTGAGGTTGTAACTGGTGGTTTTTCTAATCGACAGAAGCTCTTTATTGTACGTTTAAGGCTTGTAGGTAATAAGGAGGATTTTAAAGCCGATGCGAGACTTAATCGGGAGTGATATGATCAAACCAGGGGTGATATGATCGATAAACAGGGGTGATATGATCGAACCGAGGAGTATTGCAGATAAGCCGAGCTGCCGCATTTTGAACAGCTTGTAATTTCCTCAATTGGGTTGAAGGAAAACCATAAAAAAGACTGTTACAGTAGTCCAGGCGGCTTATAACAAAAGCCTGCACAAGAATCTGAGTTGTATGTTGATCGAGGAACTTCCTAATACGTCTAACATTATAAAGGTGAAAGAAGGCAGCTTTGCAGCACTTAGTAACATGGGTGTCCATTTTCATCTGTGAGTCAAACCCAGGGCCGCCGAGAGGTTGGCGGGGGCCCAGGGCAAATTTTTTTGGGGAGCCCCCTATCAAAAAAAATTTTTCGGGAAAAATGTTTTTCAGGAAAACAACCTCCCCCTCACCGGTCGCCAAAATATTTTCAGTCAGTGTACCATTTTAGGGGTAAAAAACTTTTCCGGAGTAAAAAATTTTTCCGGACAAGTATATTCCTATTGCTTTCCAGGAACTTTATCTCATTTTTTTATGCCAAATTTCGGTACTTAGCCCAAGAAAACAGATATCTTGTCCTTTGCCCGGAAATATTTAACACACAAAAAAGACTGGGGCCCAACAAAAATTTTCAGGGGCCCCCAGCACCTCGGGGCCCGGGGCAATTTCCCCCCCCCCTGCCTCCCCTCTCGGCGGCCCTGGTCAAACCAGCAGCCGAGGTTCTTGGCATTCTCAACACAAGTCACAACATTGCTACCAACACGAATATTGTTAAAGTCGATTTTTGCGAGTTGCTGCCAAGTGCCAATTAACTAATCTTCGATCGGTTTTTCCCTCATTGAGTTTCAGTCTATTAACGAGCATCCATCGTTTGATGTCATCAATGCACATCTCAACAGTTCGGACTGCAGTTTCTTGGTCGATACGAGAATCTGCGCTTATTAAACGAGATATAAAGTTGGGTGTCGTCGGCATAAGCATGTGCATCTGGTAGGTGACGTTCTATTAACTCGTAGTTCGCTTACATAAAGAACGAATGGAAGCGGACCTAGACATGATCCCTGAGGAACACCACAAGCAACATTAAATTTCTCGGAAGACACACCGCCAACTGTAACTCTTTGTGTTCGCTGAGAAAGATAGGATGTAAACCATTTGAGAACAGTTCCGGATAGGCCGAATTTCAATTGCATGCAGGCGCTGAAGAGAAAATGATCGACGGTAACAAACGCGGCACTACGGTCGAGTAGTACCAGCAAGGTGACGGGTTGCTTATTCATGTTCATAAGTATATCATTCCTCAAATTCGTGACGTAGCAAAAATATTAGTGACTCCATAATATAATTAGTGACGTAACAATGAAATTTGCGATGAAACAATCGTAATAAATGTAAAAGTCAAATTCATGACGTAGCAATAATATCAGCGATGTCATAATATAATTAGACATGTAATATTGAAATGTGTAAGAATGACAATTGAAGTAAAAATCAAGTAACTGACGTAGCAAGAAAATTAATGACGCAACAGTCATATTACTAGAAAATACATGCATGCAGCAGCCCCTCGCCTTTCTTAACAGATGAAGTATAAAAACTCCGCATAAAGTATTAGGACCATTATAAACAAACATAAAAACTGATGCGCTAGTTTATTACCCTGTAAACGATAACATTCGCTGCAATTTCATGTATACCAGCTTGCATTAAAACACATTATTTATTGTGAATTATCGAGTTATTAATGGTAAAGAATTTCGCAGATATGAATAAAATCGACAACACAATACGGCATGGAATTTTACCGTACTGAAGTGTTTACACTTACCCAAACCGGCACACTGACAACGATTAAATTATTAAAAATATCAACATCAAAACAATTATTTATTAAATACAAACTTTGTTTCACGGTTGAACAGCCACTAATTCATGAAACTGCAGGCTTATTTCCAGTTAAAATCGAAGAAAAAAAGTTTTGTATACTTTTATAAACTTTTTTACGAAATTTAAAACAAAAAATTGCTGTAAATGAAAAACAATTACTTTATAGACAGAGCTTGCACTCGCGCATAACGTCGAAAACCGTCCATGACATAAACGAAATGGAGGACAACTTTGCACATATTTTCACATACCCGGGTATAATCAGCCGTGCGGAATTAGTACCCTCGCACGGCGCTTCGCGCCGTCGGCTCGGGGATTAACAATCACAATAAAGGTAAAAGTCAAATTAGTGACGTAGCAATAATATGTGTGACGTCATAATACAATTAGTAACGTAATATCAATCGATTCTCATTCTCCTCAATTTTAGTATTAATTAAGGTCTGAAACTACAAGAGCCCGAAGTTAGTAACTTTACCTCTAAGCGCTTGTTATCTGCCTTTAATTCCTGGTTTTCGCGTCGAAGGGAGGCAATTATGTCGTTCTCTTGCGATGTAAAAAGCCGAATGTCCCTCAGCTCTCTTTCAGTACACCTAACGACTGCACCCATGCAGATTGTTAATTTTCTGCTAAAGGTATGTAGATGCTTGTGATGTTACTCTGAGTGCATATCCACACCGGGGAAGCTTGAAAAATATGCCTGGCCACGGTGGGAATCGAACCTACGACGTTTGGAATACTACTAGCCCAATGCTCTGCCAATTGAGCTACGCGGTCAGCTAGGTCGGTTCGAGTTAGACCTGGATCAAGTCGGTCCGTCTAGAATCCGAGGGAGAGCGGGAGGTGCAATACCGCGAGAAAGTTTGCGCCGCGCTCGATCTCGCCGCTTTGCGACTCGGACCTATAGAGAGGACTTGATCCAAGTCTAGGTTTGAGTATGTGATATTTCGGAACCGAGTCTAGTTCCTTCGATATCAATGTAATCTAGTAATCATGATTTTTTTTTTGTTACTAGATTACATTGATATCGAAGAAACTAGACTCACATACTCGAACCGACCTGGCCGCGTAGCTCAGTTGGCAGAGCATTGGGCTAGTATTCCAAAGGTCGTAGGTTCGATTCCCACCGTGGTCAAGCATATTTTTCAAGCTTGCCCGGTGTGGATATACATTCAGAGTAACATCACAAGCATCATATTCACCTGAGTACATTGCACCAACACAAAAATCAGGTATGTAGATGTTGTGTCAATTAATTCGTTATTTGCATGTACAATCTTCCTCGTCTCGCGAAGCTTCGACTTGGCAGCCATAATTGCCTTCGTGCAACACGGCTTCGTGAAAATGCAGTGAATAGTTTATTTTGAATGACCAAAGTTGTGTGCTGTTGCCAGATATTAATAGTACTCGCGAATTGCGATTGGAACTTGTGTTCACGATTACAAGGGAGGGCGAAATTCCTGAAGGGGTTGGAATTCCCAAGAAATTCTCCTCCAAGGAGGCGAAATTGAGGGTGTGAGTGTGGATTTCCTGGGACACAAGCATTGCTTTTTATCGCTCTTTCAATAAAGGAAAGATTGTGATCAATCGAAAGATAAGTAATCTAACTCTATGTACTAGATAAAACATGATCGGACGCGAATGTTTTATCGTGCTTAAAAAACGACCCATCTTATGACTTCCGAGAAAATCAAAACTGAAGTTTATGTAAATCAGGACAAATCTGTATCCGATTTACAAGCATTGATTAAACATTAATTTCTTTTGCATTTTCGTCATGAATTATTAATGAGTTTTTTAAATAACTATATCTTACAGTACAGCATGTAAAATAAATAGCATTCTATATATACAATACATATATATCCCTGCATGAAATTGTGGATTATTTAGTACGATCCGAGGAAAACAGTATGTTTTGTGGAATCAATAAGTATTTTATACCAAGTATTAAAGAAAACAAAAAAGAATGGGGGGGGAGGAGAAAGTACCATAATTTTTGCCCCATAACTGAAGATTTTATTCACCAGCTTCACGCAGCGATTGCCTTTAGATTGGCATGCAGAATTTGGATGCGGGCACATTATTCACCGGTGAATGAAAGTAATGTCCACCACTCATAGCCGTTGCCCTGACGTTGACGCTGAACTTTGACACTTGGGGTCGGTTGTTCAAAGCTAGATTAACGCTAACCCCGAGTTAAGATTTAACCTGCTGATTTGATTTGTGTATTTTTGCACATTCTTTTATTTCAAAACTTAAAAAAATGAAACATTTATCGATCCAGAAAAGATTTCTAGAAAAATATTTTCATGCATACAAACAAACTATTGCATGGGAAAGTTGCTTTGAAGTTTTTGGTTAAGCCAGGATTAACTAAACGGCTTTCGAACAACCGCCCCTTGGTATATAATAAAACTCTTTGTTTGAACTTCTCTGTCTACAAACTATTTGCAAAATCACTATAGGGTTATTCAGTCTTGCCCAATACTTAAAATTTCTGTATGTTTTCAAGAGAATGAAGTGGAGAGAATGAAGTGGAGCCGGCTGCCCATTCTGCAAATGATCTGCAATCGCCTGACGTAAAAGTATAGTTATATACACAATATAGACAAATTTAGCGTGTGGCCTCAGTGTATCATCACAGAACAGATGTTCGTTCAGGATTTATCATAAGGTACAATATTTCTGCAATAAATCCCTTGCTACTTGATTGTTACCACTAGCGCGGTATATTAATGATAAGTTGAAAGCAGCCTCGCGATGTAAGTTGTTCTTGTCCCAAAACTAAAACACAAATAAAAGTCAATAAATACATTGCGTTTCTTAAAGTGCATATGACATGAAATTTCTTATTTTCTTAAATGAAAGAAGTCTTTAAGCTGTAGTGTAACTTATTTTTCAGTTTCTTGTTTTTATGGTTTGTTCCCGAGATATTTCAATTTGTTTGATATGTAAATGAGTGTAAATATGTCCGCTAATTTATGACGTCACATTGGTTGCAAGCTCTTCAAAATGGTTGAATATTACTGCACTATCATCCAAGATGATAATTTCAAACTTCACTCACTGGTAAATGTGATGAAACACTGTAGAAAATCGTGAACTGATATCTACAGTTTTTAGAGTTAATAGATTTATAACCAGTTAAGTTGAGCTTGCAACCAATGTGACGTCATAAATTAGCGGACATATTCACATTCAAACATACAAAGAACTTATATTCACATCATTTACATATCAAACAAATTGAAATATCTCGGGAACAGACCATAAAAACAAGAAACTGAAAAATAAGTTACACTACAGCTTAAAGAGTTCTTTCATTTAAGAAAATAAGAAATTTCATGTCATACGCACTTTAATTAAATCGGACAACACGCAGCTAAACAACTTTTAACGAGCACGGCGTAAATCCTCGGCGGGGAAAGGAGGATGCGCTCCCCTCACTTTTTGGACATTCGTAATATAATTTAGAATAAATTACCCCCACTTTTTGGAATGGATTTACGCTCTTGACTGCGCAATGCATGCATGTCGAACAACTGTCAGGATAATTAGGGATCATTCATAATTATTACAATGTACAGGTAGTACCCTTTTTTCTCGACTTCTTCCCCTCGCCCCCCCCCAGGGCGTACTCTTAAATGTTGAACCTCAGAAATAATGATAATTGGTCTATCATCGACATTTTCCAGAGCGTGCAATGGACCTATTCCCTAATGAACAAAATTTTGATCTAGACAAGTCTAGACAAAAATTTCATCACAGCTTGAAAGAAAATCGACTCCCGTCAATCCCGTCATTTAAATCCCGTCATTTAAATCGACTCTCAATCCCGTCATCTCCTACAAAGGCAAAGTGGCAAAAACGTCTGCCGAAAAATCTGAACTCTTTAACTCATATTTCTCTTCCGTTTTCCAATCTAACCATCCTAGGAGTCATGCCTTCGATTCTTCTCAATTAAAAACTGACTTACAACTTAGAGAAATAACGGTTGACGAGGAAGAAGTCTCTAACCACCTGGCCAATCTAGACGTGACAAAAGCAAGCGGTCCTGACGGTATTCCTGCGCGGCTTCTGAAAGAATGTCATCAACAAATTGCCCCAAGCCTGTGTGTCCTTTTCAACGCCCCCCTCAAATCTGGTTTTATTCCATCGGAGTGGAAATCGGCAAATCTGACCCCCATACATAAAAAAGACTCGAAAGAACCAGCAGATAACTATAGGCCAATCTCGTTATTGCCTATCGTTAGCAAGATCCTGGAACGCTGCGTTTACTCAAGATTTTATGATCATGTTGCTCACCTCATCAGTCCATCCCAACACAGCTTTCTCAGAAATAGATCCTGCGTCACCCAACTCCTGTCTGTCCTCCAGGTCATCGGACAAGATCTAGACAGAAACACTCAGACTGATGTATTGTACCTCGACTTTCCCAAGGCATTCGACTCTGTAGATCACACGATCCTCCTAGCTAAGCTTCGTTGTTACGGTGTGACTGGCTCAGCTCTTGATTGGTTTGTTAACTACCTTAATAGTAGGACACAAAGAGTCGTTGTGGATGATGTGACATCTAAATGATGGTCTTCTGTCACTTCCGGTGTGCCTCAGGGAAGCATTCTAGGACCCATGTTGTTTGTAGTATTCATCAACGATCTACCCGACATAGAAGCCCGAACAGGTACAGCTCTGTATGCAGATGACACCAAACTGCACAAAACCATCACCTGTAATCGTGATTGTGCGTCTTTTCAACACTCCCTATCCAATCTTAATCTCTGGACTATGGAAAACAACCTCCGCTTCAACGTCTCTAAGTGCAAAGTCCTCACCATCACCAGAAAGAAAAATCCTATCATTCATGACTACACTCTTGGGAGCCAAAACCTGACTCGAGTAGATAGGGAAAAAGATCTTGGAATTACCACCACATCAAAACTTTCTTGGGGCATTCACGCGAACACCATCGTCGCGAAGGCCAACAAAATACTAGGCGTACTTAGAAGAACTTGTACCGAATTGATGGACATGAAAGCCAGACGAACTTTATATTTATCGTTGGTTAAGTCCCAGCTGTGTTATGCTACAGAGGTATGGTCGCCGGTTAACAGCGTCCAGATTTCAACACGTGTTGAAAATGTGCAAAGAAGAGCGACTAGGTTGATAACAATGACAAAGCGAGGCGAACTGTCGTACAGAGAACGGTTATTAGCAATAGATCTGCTACCGTTAACCTATGATCGAGAAGTCAGAGACTTGGTGTATTTCTTCAAACCATTGTTTAGTTACATTGACGTCAATATCGATAACTATGTGTCGTTTGTGAGTCATGGTCGTACTAGACTGAGCCATAGGTCAAGATATATCCTTCAAATTAAACTCTGTAAAACTAACACTTTCCAGTCTTCATACTACAATCGTGTTGTAAAGATTTGGAACACAGTGTGCCAAGAAGTCTCACCTGACATTTTCCGTAATCCAAACTCGTTTAAACACTATCTTAAACGTAGATACTATACATTAATTAGTAATGTTTATGACGTAGACATGGCTTGTACGTGGTCATTAACTCGTGACTGTCCTTGCCATAGGACTTAATACCACAAGTAATATATATGTGTGTGTATATTTAATTAACTATATCTAAACTAATTACGGGGAGCACCTCGCATGGGACTTTTAGTGTCCCGTTTGAGTGTATCTACTAATTTGTCCCTTGTGCTTTTCCGTTTGAGTGTATCTACTAATTTGTGATTTGTGACGTGTGTTTTAATTGTCTTTCGTTTGTCAAGTATTTATCTTTGTACCTGATATAGTACGTATGTAGATTGCTCAATAAATTCATTAAAAAAAAAAAGAAAAAAAAAGAGTTTCGTTGCGAAATGTTATAAAATGCGGATAATATATAGCCTGAAAAAAGGTATCAATTTCCCGTGCGTAATACAAAATGACTGAAAAACGGCAAACTTCGCAGGGCTATATTATCCGCATTTTACAACATTTCGCAACGAAACTTTGGAATATTACTAATTTTGTGATGCTCTTTCAAGCTGTGATGAAATTTTTGTCTAGACTTGTCTAGATCAAAATTTTGTTCATTAGGGAATAGGTCCATTGGTTAATGACTTCCTCCTACCAGTGTACGGTTTGTCCCCTTGTCAAAATGTCGATAATTATAGGTGACTCCTCAATGAATTACCTTTTCATTATTATTTTCTTCAACCATCGGGTAGTTTAGGACCTTGTGATAGTAATGTGAGGCAAAATTTACTAAACCTGGAGATACAGAACAAAATTATGATAAGAAACAATATCCGTTAACAAACTAGTTACTATTTAGTCACTGCAGTAGTCGGTGGTCTGATCACCTTGATCAAGGTTATCAACAAAATGAAATTCATCATCACAACATAAATGAAATGAACAATGAAGTCTAGTTGATTGAGGTGTTTTTGACCGTAAACCATATATTAAAAGACCAACTTTTTTAATACTGGATAGGTCTATCTCTATATAAACTTTTCTGGCCCTCTAAGGGTAGACTATGGTAGGCCCTAATTGGTATACATTGTTATTACGAAAGGGAGAAACCTGCTGTGTTATGATAATCAAACTGGAACACTCTTCTTACATGCTAACAAGGCGAAATTAATAAGGCATACCGAATCAGGTATCGAACTACAGTGAAGAGGTGAAACGCACATACACTGCATGATCATTGCCTCTAGCCTCCATTGTGTTCATACTCATGCCACTTGGATGTTATGAATGCCACAATAAATGAATGAAACGCAAGCTTTCGATTGGTATTTGTATGACGCACATAATAAACTGGTGTTTTACGGGTTTAGTAATATACATGGAAAGATTACTCAATCCTGAGCTAGGAGCAGTGAAATTTTCTTGAAATACAGTGCAAAAAAAAGAAATTCAGTGTGGGCTAAAACAATTAGTGCCAAAAAAAGATATAAATGTCAAGCCTCTAACTTTCGACAGTTGAAAACTTGTATTAAGTTGTTACTCCGCTCAAACGAGTAAGTGAATAATCTATTTCGCATACGTTTGATGCATGCAAGTGCCATGAATTTACATTTTTTCCCATTCGATCGTCTTCGAAAAACTCACTCGTGCATGCATGCAGGTTGTTTTCCAAATTGCACTCGAAACTATACTACCTATACTTAAGAGCACTAATTACGCCAGTTTATTATCAGGTCTTCTCCCTGAATACACTTACCTATTTGATGGTAACTTCTTCCCATATTATAATCTGTTTCCTGGCATTTTCCCCGCAAGCCTTCATATTGATAAAGAAATAAGAAAGCCTACAAAATTTGAAATAGTTTGAGAAAACGAGATATCCACCAGTTCCAAATGCGACATCTTTGACTATCCAATTTAGTGAAACTACAATAAGGGCCACAATCACCTGCACACCTCACACCTACAGTATATACGCGTTCGATGGTGCTTATTTCTACAAATGCCCCCCCTTCTCCCAAACCATAGTTAATATGCCCAAACCAACAATCATATTTATCGTCATGAGCATAGTCACCACGAACCTACGGAGGGACTCGCATGATATGTCCAAGTATTTTTAACCTCTTTAAGATAGTTCGGACACAAATCACAGCGGCCTACTTTATAATACCACCTACACAACATGCAGGTCAATCATGGTTTTTACACCATCACAATGATACAGAACCTACGAAAAGAATAGACCTTATGCATAATGACGTCACAAGGCTTGATGCCCACGAGGAATGCTGGTCTTTAGTCATCGCCCGGGAAAATTAAACAATTCAAAATGGCCACTATCGAAATTTTCCCGGGCGATGACTTACTAAGACCAGCATTCCTCGCGGGCATTAAGCCTTGTGACGTCTTATGCATAAGGTCTATTACATACTCCGCCAAAATAACAAAAAGCACAAGTAGTCACAGATCTCTTACTTGCATGATACTTGCATTGCGACCATATTGAAATTTCTGACAAGCCATTTGAAGAAAAGATAATCCCATTAATAAGCTGACCAATGGTTCCAGTGGTTTCTGACGAAATGCACGAGCATATTCTCCTAAACAGAAATAAATCATGTGTCATAAATCAAGTTTTTTAAACTGATAAATATAACAAGACGCTAAAATAAACGTTAAGTCGCTGGGACTTTGAATAGAGAAAATAAAATTTATTCGGAAGAAAATAACCGCTCAAAGGGAAATTGTGTTGGTAAATGCAACTCGTTCCCAGGCAAAAGCGTATGTCCTGGGGGGGGGGGGGTTAGTGCAATGGCAATAAAGAAATTGATAATCAGATGATCAAACTGATTATCAATCAGTTCCCATTTGTAATCTAAATGACTGAAAAACGGCAAACTTCGCAAGGCTATATTATACGCATTTTACAACATTTCGCAACGAAACTTCGGAATATTACTAATTTTGTGATGCTTTCTCAAGCTGTGATGAAATTTTTGTCAAGACTTGTCCTGATCAAAATCTCACTTAAAAGGGGAAAGGTCTATTGGAAAAAAATCAGGGGGCAATTTATAATTACATAGGATTTGTGGGACTATCCCAGGACCTAATGGGCTAACGTGTGTTTATGTCTTTTGCCACCAACTTCACTCACATGCTTGGTTAGCTTTGTATTTAATTCTTTGTTTCCAAACGGCAGTGACCCGTTACCGCTACCGCTACCATTAATGGACTATTTGTAATATATTCAGTATATATGTATGCTAATTAGATTCATGTACAGGGTGTCCCAAAAAAAACGGAAACTATAGAAATCACTTATTGTTAAATTTGAATGCCCTACCAAACAGCTGGACGTAATGATGCGTAAAATATTGACAAGGTGCATGTATTAGAATTTAGTTAGGAATATCTCCTGGTAAAGTGCGCGATTTTCTGCTCCTGGGAATTAAAAACAACTTCTCAAACAGTTTCTTTATGCATAAAATTTACTTATGTCAATCATTTATGCACTCGTGGGAACCAACAGAGCGCTAAGGCATTCAAATTCTAACAATTAAATTGTTATTGGTGATTTCAATAGTTTCCGTTTTTTTTGGGACACCCTGCATATAAGGGTTGTTTTTGTAACATAATAAACAGACTAATAACATAACATGGTGTCAGGATGGAGCCGTTTATGAAGCCTCCTTTAGAGATGAACTTTTCCACAACTGAACAGTTGTCGTTATCCGAAAGATGGAGACGATGGAAGGAAACTATGCAGTTATATCTTGGATTAAACATGTCTAAAGCCAGCGAGAAAGAACAATGTGCGGCGTTCCGGTATGTGATCGGACAAGACGGGCGAGACATTTATAACACAATGAAGTTTACAGAGGCTCAAAAGGACAAAATCGACGTGTTATTCGCGAAGTTTGACGAGTATTGTGAACCCAGAAGAAACACGATTATGGAAAGATACAAGTTTAATACGCGAGTGCAAAGAGACGACGAAACAGCCGATCAGTACGTAACTGAACTTAAATTGCTCGCTAAGAATTGCAACTTCGGATCTCTTGAGGACGAGTTGATTAGGGACCGCGTTGTTTACGGAATAAAATCGGAGCGTGTGAGA